AACACTGCTTATGAACCGCCCGCAATATAGCGTTTCCTTGTTTCCTTGTTTACCGCGGTAAACAAAGCAGAGCTGCGCTTTATACGGAGGAGAAGAAAATGCCATTGCCATCTAAACTTTTCTCAAGACAGTTCCCTTATGTGATACATTAATATAACCCCAGAAATGTAATGCATTTTTGTACTTATTTTACTGTTATTATCGGGACCTACTGGAACAGTGATAAAGATCTAACAGTCGATCGCGATCGACGGGTTGTCGACCACTGCTCTAAAGGCATCTTAACCAATCAGATGGATGTAAGCAAATGACATAGCCGTGCATAAATCTTCAGACTTTTGGGAAAAAAAACATTAATTGTATTTGCAGCAGTTGATACAGACGTGGCATCATCTCATGGGCACAATGACATGACAGCTTGTTAAAAACAGAAGTCAGCGATTTCCTCCATTTGTTCCCCGATTCAAAATACAAAAATTAAAGGTTTGATTTTCTTGCTGAAAGAAAATTATATATTTTTTTCATGTTTAATGAATTCAGTTATGTAAAATGACCTTAATGTCAATTAAAAAGTTCTTCAATGAAAACCAATGTTTAAATGCCCTTTCTTGAACAGAAATAACTGCAAAGTGGATCAGTCTTTCTGTCAGTAGTAAAATAGTATTGAGATTGTGGTATTTGCTGTCAGAGTCAACCAGGATGCAAAAGTATTTTAAAATCTTTTCTTTTGCAGTTTCTATATGGAATAGGTTATGAAACAAATGATTTGTTGTTTCCACCTGTAACTGGCTTACGTGTTCTCTCTGGTGTGAAGTATATTAATATAGTGTCACGACTCCTTTGTGTGTGTAGCTGGGATTGATTCCATTCTCTCTCTGTCTCTGCTCTTCTCTCTCTTTCTTGCTTGCTTTTCACAATCTCAGGATTGCATCCAGCTTAACCAGTACAAGTTAAAGAGTGAGATTGGGAAGGTAAGCTCACCTACATCATACTCCTATTGAGTTATTTTGATAGTCGACATGCATATAAACATCAGAAAAATCTCATGGCCATGTTGTTTCATAGCAGTCATTCAAGCATTCAGACACTGACCCTTACTGACCCACAGCACAGTCTCATAGTCTGACTCATCTCACTCTACCTGTTTTGTTTATCTTTTTTCCTCTATCCATTTCTTCTGTCTTAAAGGGCTCATATGGTGTTGTCAAGCTGGCGTACAACGAGGATGATGACAAATATTACGTAAGTATATTTTAAAATAAATTGTCCTTGTTGCAGCATGACGTGCAGAAATTACACAGTTCAGCTTTAGACACAGTCATGACGTGCATATTGTGAAGAAGTGAAAATGTAACGTAAATGGAAAAAACAATATACTGCGGGAAAGAGATTGGATAGAGAAAAGCAGCATGACAGAGAGAATGATGGAGGAGAGGCAGGATAGATTGAATGGTTATGAAAATGAGAGCAGATGAGGGAGGGTTGTGATATAACAGAAATGACAGGAATGTGCAGCAGTCCTTAATTTCATTTGGAGATGTTTATATCAGCCCCCAAAACACCATCACTGTTGATCACATATGCACACAACCGAACAAACTTGCATACAAATAGATAGACACACAGGAAGTAATTTTACTGTCCTTATTCTCATCATTGCCTGGACTGCAAAGAACACAAGCATAAAAGGTTCTATTCAAATTTTGTTCATCAAAAATAAACATCAAAATAAACAATATGGACAGAAATAAAATGTAAATACTGTATATGTAATTGACATTTACTTCTATCTAAAAATGACTGGTCTTTCATTTTCATCTTGTCCTAAAAACAGTAATATTTTGTCACCAAGCCCTGTGGTAGGACTTGTTAAATGGAAATCTATTTTTAAATGGGCAGTTTTATGGACACACTTTCCAATTTTACTAATCAGGTGCCCACAGGAAGTAAATAAGATATGGTTCAAGCTTTTCAAGAAGAGGTACATGACAGAAAGTGAAATTTTCAGCATTAATAAGCATAAAATAAGTTAAAGCTGTGCTTATGCGTGTGGATGGAGGCAGCATATGGTAGACTAACAGTTGGAATCAATGTGTCAGAATAGCTGAATACCTTGAAATGTCCTGCAGTGTGACATAAAACTACTTTACTCAGCATTTTCAAATTGTTTTATGATTATGTATGCAGTTTTTATGAGCTCATATTAAAGGAATAGTTTACCCAAAAATGAAAATTTGCTGAAAATGGATTCACCCTCAGGCCTTCCTAGATGAGTTTGTTTCTTCATCAGAACAGATTTGAAGAAATTTAGCAAGAAATCACTTGCTCACCAATGGATCCTCTATAGTGAATGGGTGCCGTCAGAATCAGAGTCCAAACAGCTTATAAAAGCATCACAATAATCCATGACTTCAGTCCATCAGTTAATGTCTTGTGAAGTGAAAAGCTGTGTTTGTAAGAAACAAATCCATAATTAAAGCATTTAACTTTAAACAATTGCTACTGGCAAAAATACAAGTCCATAATCCATAATAACACATCCTACAGGGAAAAAGTGAAAAAATGTCTTGATGGATTTGTTGCTTACAAGCACACAGCTCTTCACTTCACAAAATTAATTAATGGACAGGGGTCCTTTGATTACTTGTGGATTATTGTGATGTTTTTATCAGCTGTTTGTCTCATTCTGACGGCACCCATTCACTGCAGAGGATCCACTGCTGAGCAAGTGATGTAATGATCAATTTCTCAAAATCTGTTCCGATGAAGGAACAAACTTATCTACATCTTGGGTGGAACGAACATTTAAAATTTTTCATTTTTGGGTGAACTCATCCATTAATGATTAGACTATATGGAATGTATGTAAAGGATGTAAATATGCTCAAAAGGTTTAGATGCGAAATAAGGAAGACACAGTGTTAACGTCTTAGTGTTGTTGGTGCTAGACAGGATGCCAGATGGACAGACGCTTGTGCACACCTCTGTCTTTAGAGTGTACAAGTAGTGCTAAAGAAAATCACATCTATTGAGAGCCTATTCACTGAAAGAAAACACTTTGTTAATGAGAGAAGTCAGATGAGATTGGTCAGACTCCTTCAAGCTGAGAAAAAAGGCCACAAAAACTCAAACTAGCACTTCTCCCAACAGGAGAAAGGCACAGCTGAAATCATAACCTTGAAGGGAATGGGCTTTCAACAGCAGAAGGCTGTTCCCAGATCCTCTTCTGATGACTCTATATATGAGCTATAAACTGGATGGCTCAACAGTGAGAAAAAAAGCAACAATTCTTGGTTTTTCTGAAACATTAACAAACTAGGATCAAAATTTAACATGACATCATGTATCAGTGTATAAAGGGCATCTTGTTTGGTATTAGGTGTACCTAATAATGCTATTTTTCTCCCTTGTTTGTAGTTCATCTTTTTGCTGGTCTCATGATCACATTTGAATATTTTCCTCTCCTCCTCATAATCATCTGTCATAATAGACAATGTGTCTGAAAGCAAAATATAGCTCCCAGTTCCCAGCTGCATTCATTAATTCATGCTGTGTGGATATATAAGAGCAAGGATGAATAGAGGACAGAGATCAAATCCCTTCATAAAGGCAGAGTAGAGTGAGGCTGCCCCCGTCTCTGGCCTTTACACGCCACTGGCCTCACAAAGCAGGGTTTTACCGTTCTAACAATTACCACACATTCTCTTTTTCTTTACAGGTAGAATTAATCCTGATATTATATCTTGTTCTTCATTTTTCTTGCATTTTTTCTCCCCTTTGCAACATATGTCCGTTTTCTGCCTGTCTTTCACTCTTTTTCAACCATGGTTGAAACTTATCATCAGAAACCATTCAGTTTGACATTTTTCTTGTCGTTCAAATATATAGGTTTATATATAAGTTATTTAATGGAATGTTGGAAGTGTTGCATTATTGTTTTGGTTATTTAGTTATTTTACAGTATTTAATCCCATTTAACATTTTCCAACTTCTAATCTTAGCACATTGTAAAGTTGAGTTGGGGTCAGCAAGATTTTTTAAAGAAATTAATAATTTTATTCAGCAAGCATGTTTTTAATGGATCAATGTTATAATGTAACTTATTATACAATGTATAACCGTTTTTGACATTGATAATAATAAGAAATGATTCTTGCGCTCCACATCATCATATTAGAATGATTTCTGAAAGATCATGTGACACTGCAGGCTGGAGTAATGGCTGCTGAAAATTCAGCTTTGTCATCACTGGAATAAATTACATTTTAAATCATATAAAAATAGAAAACAGTTTTTTTTAATTGTAGTAATATTTCACAATATTACTGATTTTACTGTATGTTTGATCAAATAAGTGCAGCCTTGGCGAACACTTAAAAAAGAAAGAAAGAAAAAAAATCTGTAGCGAGGAGAAACTTTATCTATATTGTTATTTAATATCGCAAAAGAGAGGCGTTTTCCTTGTTGACCCCACTGTATTTTTCATAGATTACAGTAAATATAGATCCATCACCTCCTACAGCAAACTGTATTTATGTATTGCTTACTTGCTGATTCATCCCATCGTTTTCCAGTTCTTTGCATTCTGATGCTTCAGTTCTTTCCGTCCCTGCTGCATTCTAAATAGCAATTTTCTTTCATCGTGCTCACCTCCGACATGTTCATAGTTTCCTCTTCACTCTTTGACGAACTGAGTTATTTAAACTCGTCAGCACAACAGACGTAGCCTCCTCCAGCTCTCCTTGAGAGCGAGGAGAAAAGCACTCTTTCTTATTGCTAACTATTATGGATTCACGTCTAAAGTTGTGTACTTTCATATTTAAGATGAAGGGCCATGTGTGTCTTTTAAACATTTATAATTCTGAGATATTGGATTTTATAGCATGAAAAATTAAGGGAAAAGACCACAGGGTTTCAACCTGCGCTTCAGCTAAACTTTGAATCCTCTCCATGACAATATGTGAAATTGTATCATGAAAAACTCAAGGATGAATTTTGAATTTGTCCAGATCTCATTCATTATGAAGCCGCAGGTGTTAGAAATTGGCAGACTGTTGTATTGCCATTTCATTTTCTGACTGTAATGAGCAGAGTGGCATAGATTCAGAGAGAGCACTTCCCACGTTACAGAAGTCTCCAAATGTTCTGTTTGCGCACTATGTACGTCTCTGTGACTTTCATCCCAGCAGAAAAGACACAGGTGCACAATTCTTCTGTAATAGACGTCTTCCATTGTAAAAAGATACAGATGACTCAATATGTTTTCCAGGAAGTGTAGATTTTATAACCCCAGTTCTGTGTGCCAGAAGCAATTGTTTTGATTAACATTTTAATTGCTTACAAAGACATCTGATCCAAGCATCAGCGGTGGAATGTGCACAACCCATTTGTTTCTTTTCTTTAAAAAAACCCAAGTTGATTTACAAATCACAAGCACTTTGGTCTGCTTGCTTCTTATAGTCTGTCACTCACTGTTTGTGACCAAATTTCTGCATTCACATTAGCAATCACCTACGCAGGAACACTGAGTGTCCCATCAAGGCCAGAAGCAAACGAGAGGGCTGCAGTGGATTGAACTCTGTGAAAGCTTTGTTTGATTAGTATGTAAATGGTAAAGTCAGTTGATTGTGTCACCTACTTTATAGATGGAAATATGTGTGTTTGCGAACACCATAGTTCAGACCTTAGTCTTGGCAAGATTGGTTGTTTTGCTCTTTTCATCTGTGTCTTACTTGTTTTGCAGGCAATGAAAGTGGTATCTAAGAAGAAGCTGATGAAACAGTATGGTTTTCCCCGTATGTATGGCATTTAAATTAAGTTCTAATTTGAAACCAGATGTATGCAGATGTTATGCACAGCAGATGTTGTCCTTGAGATCTTGAATCTTGAATCTTGTCCTGTGAGGCAGATGTTGAGGCAGTCCTCTAAACCAGCTGAAGAATTCAGTATTTAAATGAAGCAGCAAACTTAGTTGCATTCTTTCTCTTTGCAGGCCGCCCTCCTCCCCGAGGTCCTAAAGCAGCACAGGGGGAGCAGCCCAAGGTGCTTGGTCCTCTAGAGAGAGTTTACCAGGAGATAGCCATCCTGAAAAAACTGGACCACCTCAACATAGTTAAATTGGTTGAGGTAAGGACTGTGGCCATATTCCTTCATTCATGTTATCCACTGTTAATAAACGTCTGCTAATTAATACAATTAATTAATGAATAATTTAATAGAAAAAAATAATAATCTGTTCTTCTCTTCTAAATGTTCTTCTTAAAAATACTTTGTTACGAACAAACTTCTTATTAATTATTAAAGTGCCCCTATTATGGATTTTTGAAAATGACCTTTCATGCAGTGTGTAACACAGCTCTAAGTGAATGAAAACATCCTGCAAAGTTTTAAATCTGAAAGTGCACGTGTATAAAGTTGTCTCTCAAAAGAAAGAGTCGACTGAATCATTGAAACGAGTCGTTTTTAAAACGAATCCCAAGCCGTTTCATGTTGACATCAACAGCACTGCGCTCACAAACGCTGCTTTATCAGGCATTACAGGCATGATGAAATGAAAATGAGACCAATTTGACCAATCACCGCAGATTAGCATCACGCAAGGGAGGGGTTTGGAAAATGAATCGTTGAGCGAATCGTTTGGGAGTCATTGAGCAAATAAGGTAAAAGTAAATGCATATAAGATAATGAAAGGGTTTTTTGACCTTGCATACATGTCAACCTGTTGTTGGGGACTCTCAAAACCAAAATATGAACCTTTCATAACCCATAATAGGGGTACTTTAAACTTTTTTCCTTTGAATGTCCTTCCCTTTTTCCTTTCTTCCTTTCATGCAAACTTTCATTCAAAATTACTTTCTTTTCTTGATTCTTTCTGAATTAATAAACTTACTTTCTTCTGAACGTTTATTTCCGTCTGAAGAAACCTTTCAAACATCCTTCCATCCTTTACAACAAACAAACGAAGAATCCTTTTCAATTTTATGATTTCCTTTCTTCCTTCATACTGAATAAACTTTCTTCTCAATGAATGAATGAACAAACAAACTTCCCTTCTGAATAACCTTCAAAACGAACAAAGAATTGAACAAACTAACTTATTTGCTTCAGAACTTTCTTCCTTCTAAATGTATTGTTATTTGATTAATGAACAACCACTTGAAAGAAATTTAGTTTACACCATATTTTTTGCTGTAGTTTTTTGTCTGGATCTCAGGAAAAGCCAGGTGTAAAAAAAAAAATATATATATATATATTTAATAATAAAATAATCAAAACACAGAGAGATGAAATTTGGAAGGAAGTGAACTCAATTACCCTAACAGCTCAATAACCGAGCTATATTTCAAACTAGTCATGTATCATTATGTAATTTGTGCCAAAGAGGGGAAAAAATAATAGAGACACTGAAAATCAGCTAGGAGTAAATCTGTTGAAGAGAGACGCCCTTATTGCTCCTGAGAATGGGATGTGGAGAGGAGTGCGATCGATCACAGGATAAAGAAAATGAAGCCAGGATGGAGGGATGCTAAAGGAGAAAAGCACCTTTCCTTCTCTCCCATTGTGGTTCCGTCTGAGTGCTCTTCAATCACAGCAGCACCTACGTACGTCAGCAAAATTAGAAAAGAGGGGTGAGAGAGTGCGTGTGAGATAGAAATTGAATCCAAGCATGAAAAATGTTTAAAGGAAACTTAGAAAGTGAGGCAGATGAACCACCTACACTCCAATCACCTGGGCTCTCCTACTGTCAGTCCAAGTATAGTCTTAAGTTAGGAGTGCGTGCGTGGCCATTAGGAGCAATACAGAAATGGTGCTCTGCTGGCAGTGAAGGATGAAGCACCTGATGCTTATCGAATCTCATCAGCGGCGCCATGCCAGTAGCTTGGCTGTTTTTTTTTTTGCAACTTTTTCCAACAAGCAGTGGTGTAGAGTGACATAGGCTTCAGCAATTTTTTTTCCCATCATATTTACACAGCTTTATCGCTGAGCAAGCTAAGGAAATAATCAATCATGGTCTTTTAAAATATTGTCTCTCAGAAAATGAAATGAAGAAAATGCATAAAAATAATTAAAAACCGATACTCAAGTCATATTTGCTCTGGACCTGTATGGGTGTTACATATTTTCCTAGACACAGAAACCTGGACATAGTGCCATACAGTGCATGTTGGTGTTTTTAATAAGGTTTCTATTTCAGGTGCTGGATGATCCAGCGGAGGACAGCCTTCACATGGGTATGTTCTTTTTAATATAAATTTAGTTGTAAAATGGTAAAATGTGCAATAGACTCAGCAAATGATGGTGTTTTTACAGTAGCTGAAACACCCATTAGACCCGTAGTGTTGTACAATTGTAATTACACTACAGTTCAAAGACGATTTTATATATATATAAATATATCCATTGCTCCATTGCTATTCGTCTCACCACATCACTGCTCATTTGCATAAAATGAAACCCTTTTGACTTTTGTCAGATCAGTGTCACTCATATCATCTCAGATCACCAACTCTCATTAATTGAAAATGAATGACCTCTGTGCACTTTGTCACTGCAAAACTTTTGTCACTATAAAGTTTACCATTACAAACTTTACTTTTTAATGAAAAGCAGACATATGTTTAAAACAGATCAAACTGTGCAGCCTGTCTTCATAATGGGCTGAAGTGAGAATCTGTAGAATAAGCGTGTCATACGTATGACAAATTTAGTTGACTGCTCTGACTCATACTGTAGGAATGAATATAAGGTGTTTGTGCTGATGGACTGCTACAAAATGCTAAATGACTTCACACCACTGTGCAATGGTGCGAATAAAAGCACACATCATGCTTATGTGTGAAAAAGAGCTGGGTCATTTGAGGATATGACATACTATATGAGGACTGTGAACGTTACATTTCATAAAGTGCTCTGAGTAATGGATTTGTCAATAACAGAATGTCTTTTCACTCTGATTTTTCTTTAATGACCCTCTTTCTGATCTTTCCACAGTGTTTGAGCTGATGCAGAAGGGGTGAGTATTCTGTGTGTCCACTTAGACCTCTTTTGTGCATAATTGATGCTTTCGCCACGCTTTCTTCCATCTTGTATCGTTTCATTAATCACTTCTTCCCATCTTCATCGACTGTGTCTTGTCTTGCATATCTGTCATCACTTAGATCTGACTCAGTTTCCCGTTTTCTTCCCTTGTTCCAAAGGGATTAATGAAGTACTTATGTTCTCACTCAGTCTCTTATTCACTTCTTTTTCTAAATCAGATCTTTTGTGTTTTGTTACTGAATAGACAATGTGACTCATTGTTAATCTTTTCAGTATTCCTTCTGGTACTTGTAGTTTTTATTTATTCTGCTGCTTTCTCTGCGTTTCTAAAGCCATCAAAAGCTCATTTAAAGGGCAGCAGTCTTCCAGTTTATTACAAGACCTCATTTTTTCCAAATGTGACATTTTACTTTGGTTGAATATGAGATTTTGCCAAGTGGCCCAGCTTTGTTTTGGAGAGAAATGTTGTTTGTGGGCTTCTGCCTTGAAAAGAGCAGATTAGAACTTACTTTGCATAATTACAGAATGGTCTATTTTCACTAGACCTGGCTGAATATGTTTGGCCTTTCTGCTCAATTGTGATTCACTGCCTGTGGGTAATGAATGAAATGGCCTTTGAGGACCCTGTTTTGTGCTAAGTGGTTTGTGTGATTGGTTTTTATGTAAATCTCACAGTCACCGTTCATTTTGAAGGATTCTATCCACTGTGTGTGCAGTCCTGTAGTTTCCCAGCACCCTTTGTTCTGTTGCACAACTTTCCCAGTGCTGCGTTATATACGTATGTCTTGCAAACATTTGGAAATAGGTCACTAAAGGCTGGAATACACTACATGACTTTTAGCACTGATTTATAGTCTGGAGAAGTTCATGCTAGTTGGCGAAAGTTGGATTTTTCGTAGAAAAATATAATGGCTACAGACTCCGATGTTTTAGCTTTAGACTATGATTCCATTAAGGGTGTACTCAAACTAGGCGTTTTGAACCGTGCCCGAGCGCGTTTGACCCCCAAAGCCCGGTTCGTTTGACTAGTGTGAGCACTCCGTGCCGCACTTGGTCGCGGTTCATTTAGGCGGCACTGACCTGGTTGGAAGAGGTGGGCCAGGGCACGGTTCGGTTGGGCTCGGGCGCGGTACGCATGCATTGTGAGCGCTAACCGCGCCGGAGCGCAGAACAGATACTATTTTGTGTGCGCTATATCATCATTACGACCGCAAACATATTCTATTACTACTACTACACTACACTTTTCAATTAATTTAATTTAATCAAGTATATTTAGGTTTATAATGGATCTGGTTCTTACGTTATTGATGAACAGGAAATGTAGTTTGCGAGTAAAGCTGCAAATTTTTCATTAACGTCAGCTGCCTCCGTAATAATTTTCTGATACATACAAGTGAAAATCAATGCATAAATTATAAATTAATTATTATTAATTATTCGGCAGAATATTAGCGAAAATGCTTTTCTCCGTTATCTCATACATGACGTAAGCGTGCTCCGGCCCAGAATGTTTAGTGCAAGTGTGAGTGCAGGCCAGCGGGGGAGGGGGGGAGGGGGGATAATCACGCTCGGGCTCGGTTCAAGGCAGCCGTGCCTAGTGTGAGTACACCCTAAGTCAGATGATATCAAACCTGTTTGATATTTTGAGCCGATTTTAGAATATGTATTATTTTTATTTGTCACACATCTCTTAGCAACAAAGACACAATAGTGTGTGATCTTTAGTCAATCTGTAACTATTTACAAAGTCGTCCAGTGTATGATTCCTTGCGTTTTAAAATCTGTTCAGATTTTAAAAGTTGTGTAGTGTATTCCAGCCTCAAGTTTATGTTATCTAGCTGGCTAACATAAATGAGATGTCGAAACTACAAAAATAGCTTACAATATGGATTATATATTATAAACCAATAATTGTCTATTGTTTTTCACCAAAAGTCTGTACAGTTTACAGCTCACTTAATTATTCATTAAAAAATGAGTGCCACATAAAATAAAATGGGGAAATGAAATAATATATTTATTCAGAATTAAAAATTAGGTTTTTTTTTAATTATTTTGACAAATAAGCACATTTAACTCTTAAATTTAACAATAAATAACACATTGATTAATAATTTTAAATACAACATTTAATGTCCCGTTTTATAAATCTTTTGTTTTTCCAGATAAAATCTATCTAAAATATAATATACATTTAAAACAAAAATCGTAATTTAAATATTAAATATCTAAATATTGTATACAAGGAATGTATCTTTTTTTTCTGGTGCAAATAAAATATATTGCTAAAACAAATCAGTGAGGATTTTGAGAGGTACTGTATGTAAAAATCTGAACTCAGAATCATTGTTATTGATTCAAGTTGTCCTGGTTAAAAAAAAAAAGTAATGTATTTAAAATACTTTTATTTCATACTAAGTATAGTTAAAACCTATTAACATTTTTACTGACATATTGCTCGAGACTTACTGATATAAAAAATTATAATTAAACTTTATTTGGAGTTCTAGTGCACGATGCACATTTCTTGATATTAAGCCTAAAATGTGTTTCAGTGTCACTATTGATGAGGATTGTATGATCTTTGAACAATATCAATCTTTAAATGCAAGATATGTAAAGTGTACCTAAAGTATACTTGCAATAGTTCTACTTTAACACAATCAAATATACTTCAGTATATATTTAGTTGGACTTCAGCACTACTTCCGCACAATTAAAGTGCATTAGGTACAAAATTAGTTCCAATTTAGCAGACTTTAAGTACAATTGCAGAATATTTTTATTAAGTACATAAATAGGTACATGTATTTGTAGTATACTTAGCTGGGCATAAATGTATTTCAAATACTTTTTAGTATATTTATTTTTTACTAGGGTGGTTTCATGTTAAAGCCACATCAAGAAGACATTTCAGACAGTTTTGATCTCTCCACCTATCATTTCATTCAGTGTTTCTCTTCCTGAATCATTGTTGTCTGTTACTGTCTCAGTTACTGTCTTTTATTAGTACTTTATCAGTTAACTTACAATAAAGTGTCTCTATTGGTCACCAGCCCTGTGATGGAGGTCCCCAGCGACAGTCCATTCAGTGAGGACCATGCCCGCTGCTACTTCAGAGACATTGTTCTTGGCATCGAGTACTGTGAGTCATTTCCTTTATTTTAAAAACCATTTTCGAATTGCCGGGTCGACCTCACTGGGTTCCATTTTTAGTTTTTAGGAGACCACCTTGACATGGATTTTGTAACAGAGCATCTGAAGTTAAATAATTCCCAGTAGAGAAGAGTGAAGCAAACTCCTACTGATGAGTGCCTGACATGAATCATTACTTATGTAAAAATAAAGACCCAAGAGAGTTCTGTCTCAAGGAAAAGCTCTATCTTCTATTTAGACAAGTCTAAATAACTTTATGGTGATCAACATATATGTCGACAGCTGAAGTTGTATTGAGCCTTTAAACAAGATAATCGCTCAAACAAAGAGTGAGCTAGGCTGAGTTGATTGCCAAGTGTCTGTTCTGCTCATCAAGTGGAAACTCAGCTTCATTTGAATCTTACTAACCAGGCAACACTCACTGTAGCAACTGTCTGGATGGCAACTGGCCATTTGCATGATTCGCCACAAATCAGTCTGTGTTAACAATGAACTCCTTTGTGTGTGTTGGTAATTTGTGGACTGTAATCAGAGTATGTGACCATATTCCATTCATTTCATTAGCACTACGCTAGTTACCTCAGGGAGCCATGTCAATAGAATTAATTAATAGTAATCTAAAAGATGTGTGTGTGTGTGTGGGGGGGGGGGTTATGCTACGTACACTGCTTGAGAGACATCTTGCATGAACTGTGGTGTACTCCATGTGTCACATTCACCTTGCTTGCTGACTTTGATGAAATAATTATATGCAATAACCTGCTAATACTTTGAACACATGTCTTTGTTCGTTAATGGATTTTCTTTTTTCATTACCATCTGAAGACGTCTGAGATGTGGCTCTTGTCACATATAACCAGCAATGGCAGATGACTGAAAGATGATAAGTGGTGGGCAGGTTATCTTTGATTGACCACTTGAGACAGGAAGGCATCTATTAACCAATCAAATTCATCTTCTGTGTGCACGGCCCAGGGGGACCTTCTTGAACCTGTCTGCGGTTCCTTAGTTAAGCCGAGAGCTCCTGCTGTCAGACACACTTGATTTGTACCTCCTCTTCACTGGCTGTGCTCAACTTAGTATCGTTATTAAACTTTAATATTATTAAACATTCAAAAAGCAGGTTAAAACTGACATTTTGGTCAAAAATATGTAACTTGTACAGTGTAAGTATGGATTTGTATTACACATTTTGTTCATATTTTTAAAAAAATTCAGATTTCCTGCTAGGCTAAATGATCAGAGTTAGTCACTGATGAAACATCAGGGCTCGCAAAATCGCTAGCCCGACGTCCCGGGGCTATTGTGTTTTCCAGTCGGGCTACCAAAATATTTCACCACCCTGCCCGACGGGCTATCTTGAACAGTGATATAAAATTCCTTCCTTGATTTGCGTTGTTCACTAGCTTGCAGGGGTAAAACGGATCATAATTGATCGTTTGCATGTGTTTCTACGTCTTGCCGATTTAAACATTCAAGTGTTTTAAACCATTCACGCGCATTCAGAGCTGCGTGCACAGAGAGCCGCGTTTCAGACGTGTTTTCCAGTCGGGCTACCAAAATATTTCACCACCCTGCCCGACGGGCTATCTTGAACAGTGATATAAAATTCCTTCCTTGATTTGCGTTGTTCACTAGCTTGCAGGGGTAAAACGGATCATAATTGATCGTTTGCATGTGTTTCTACGTCTTGCCGATTTAAACATTCAAGTGTTTTAAACCATTCACGTGCATTCGGAG